CCCCCCCCCCCTCGTTAAGGGATTAAATTGAACATTTATTAAGTATAACTGTGATGATGTGATCTGCAGTGCTATTTAACTGTCCCCGCTGTGGTATACAGCTGTCAAGTCACCACTTCCTTCTTTCTTATCTGTATATATCTATTATGTACATCTTAAACATCTATCTGTCTATCTCTCTTCAATATCATAACACTTAATTACATCAAGGTTAAAGGATGAGTTAAAAAATATGTACATTTGTGTAGATTTTAATATATAGTTGATAATAAATAAAACGGTAAATATTAAAGGAAATCAAACATAATTTCAAATGAAAAGCTTTGTTTGATCAAGATTCAAGAAGGACAGAGATATTAAAGTATTTTTCATTAGAAATTATTTCTATGAATTGTGGGTTCTCTGTAAAAGGGACTTACGGATATATGCCGCAGAAACAATGGGGGAAATTGTTAGAATTAATCACTTAAAGCTTATTTAACACTCTAAAATACCGAGTCCATTAGCGCCTGATCCAATCAGGGTTCAGCCATGTGTTTGGTGTCTATTCTGAACCAATAGAAATTGCATGACGGTAACATCTATCTTTCTATCTATCTCATTATTCAATTAGAGATAAATCCGTATATCGGCGCCCTAACAGTAAATGGAAATATTTACTTCTACTGAAACTATAGTGATTTACTTATTTTTATTCCAGATGAGAGCAATAATTTTGACTAAAGAGGTCCCCCCCCCCACACCCCTTTCAGGGGGGGGGGGGGGGGGGGGGGGGGGTGTTAACCAGAAGTATAAATTTGTATCCTTATTATATTGTTAGATCAAGCCTAAGACACTATCTACATCTAGATAGAATTGTTTAAACATGTCTTACTGCAAGGTTGTACACACGGTTAAGCAATTATAGTTTACCCAGACTGTTAATATTAAAATCTATTGCAACTTAGTTCACAGATTTCTCCATTAGATTAATCTACTGTAAAATATGGTTCCTTTATAGGCTAAAATATTATTTCAAACTAATGACATATTTATTTCTCTAAAACAGCTCTGTTTTTAAGTAATCCACTTACCCAACCTTCTACCTGTATTGGACACCACAAATACATTTTAAAAGTCCACTCACCCAACCTTTTAGATGCATTGGATACCACTAATACTATTAGATACTCTGACCCTACCTTCTATTGGTATTGAATTCCACCACTTATAGTAGGTACTCCCACCCTACCTTCTATACATAAAGGATACCATCAATACTCCCACCCTACCTCTTATCTGTATTGGACAATACTAGTAGGTACTCCCACCCTGCCTTCTATCTGTATTAGACTCCACCAATACTAGTAGGTACTCACACCCTGCCTTCTATCTGTATTAGACTCCACCAATACTAGTAGGTACTCCCACCCTGCCTTCTATCTGTATTGGACTCAACCAATACTAGTAGGTACTCCCATCCTGCCTTCTAATTGTATTGAACTCCACTATACTAGTAGGTACTCCCACCCTGCTTACTATCTGTATTGGACTTCACCAATACCAGAAGGTACTCCCAACCTCCTTCAATATATATATATAGGATACCACCAATACTAGTAGGAACTCCGACCCTATCTTCTATCTGTATTGGACTCCACCAGTACTAGTAGGTACTCCCAACCGACCTTCTATTTGTATTGGACTTAACAAATATTGTTAAGAAGAATGGTGGAATCTGTGAGACAATGGGAACTGCATATTCCTAATGCTTGACATCAAGGTTGTAAGAATTCATAAGATTTCGCATATCTATTCAATAGTTAATACCCCCCCCCCC